TTGCCAAGCTTGTTCTAAGTAGGTGCTTTAGACCACTGAGCCATCTCTCCAGCCCAGTACTTGTATTATTGATGTAATTGCAAATCATACTTTTTCTTTCTTACAAGGAAAAATTAACTGCATAGGAAGGAGCAGTGTCTAATGAGAAAGATTGTTTTTTAAACAATATGATCAACATGGTACCTATAAGTAATCCCAATATGCTCAACATGGTACACACCTGTAATCTCAATAAACTCAGTCTAAAGAAAACCTGTCCCAAATTAAAAATGAATATTTAAAATAAAAGTGTGGACATAGGACCAGGGATACAGCCCAGTGCCACAGCACCTGCCTGGAAACCACAAAATCTTCAGTTTGATTCCCGGTACCAAAAAAAAAAAAAAAAGTGGCAGGGTGTTGAAGATATAGCAGACTGTGGAGACGCTGGGTTTGTCAGCATAGGAGCAGGAGTAAAATTAAGCAGTATATCTGAAAAAGACTTCAAGAAACAGGATGGGGAAGAAAAAAAAAAAAGACACAGGATGGAGGGGCCAGGCATATAGCTCAGCAGCATAAGGGACTATCTGACAAGTGTAATGTCCCTAGTTTCATCCCCTGAACAGAAAGAAAAAAAGGGAGGGAGGGACAAAAAGAGGGAGGATGGTAAAAGATAACCAAATGTCACTGTCTTCATGTTTACTCACCTGTATCGTCCAACTTTTACCCATACAATTTCCCTGTAGTGTGGCTTTTTGCCTGCCTTACAGTCATTGCAATACCAGTTTCCTTCAGGGATATCAATGTTCAGGCATTCACGATGAAAAGCAGCAGGACAAGAATCACAGCACAGAAGGCTGCCTCCTGTAAGATTCAAAGAACGCAATGTTCACAGACAAGGTTCCAAGGTCAAACTCAGATGAAACGGCTTTTACTCAGTGCAAAACCAATCACTTATCTCTACAACCAAGGGTGTTGTAGTTTAATAAATCATTCACGAAGACTTGTCTACAGTAATTATTTCCTTCCTAATATTCTGAACTCCCCTAATTCCAAAGTTGGCTCATATAGTACATAAAAGAATTCTCCTTGGGAAAAGTAAATGAAGGCAATAAACAAAAAGTAAACCTATCAGAATATCTATGGATACGAACACAGGAACATTTAAAAAAAAAAAAATCACAACAAAAAGAGTATCAATGGAGGCCTGCCCATTAGCTCAGGTGTTTAAGTGCCTGCTGAAACAAAGCAGTCAGGCTCAGGATGCTGTGGTTCAATCTCCTCATCCTCAAGCCAAACCAGATCTGCCATGAAGGCATCCTGAGCACCCCTCCCGCCACCAAAAAAGAGTATCAATGACATGCAATGACCATGACATAAAGAGCCCAAGTTTTCCTAACTGTTTTTGTGGTACTGGAACTTAGGGTATTGGAATTGAATTTAGGAGGCTGATTTTAGTGTCAGACAAGCATTCTTTCACTGAGCTACATCCCCAGCCCAAGAACACAAGTTTTTCTTTTAAAGAATTTTTTTTTAATTTATTTATTTATTTATTTGTGTGTGTGTGTATGGCCAGCTCAGCCCACCAGGGGGCGGACTGTCTGGCATGTGGTGCTGGGGGATTGAACTGTGGTCCCTGGGCTTTGCTAAGCTTGTTCTAAGTAGGTGCTTTAGACCACTGAGCCATCTCACCAGCCCAGAACACAAGTTTTAATGATGCCAGACTGAGACTAGAATTACAGGTCTTTAACCACATGACCTTGGGAATTTCACCTCATTTTAAGCTATAAATCCTCTAAAGGTAAGGTTATTTATCTTATTATTATTATTATTTTTTTTTTTGGCAGAACCGGGAATTGAACTCAGGCTCTTGCACTTGCCAGAGAAACGCTTATTCCACTGAGCCATCTCCCCGGCCCCAGGTTATTTATTATGAACAAAAACAACCGTAACTGTTTAAGAACCTCACCAGTTAATAAGTCAATTAGTATTATCTGGCACATAAGTAATACTTCCATATTGTTAGCTGGATCCATTTTAAGTCACTAACATTTCACAACTTTGCACTTTTAGCAAGATGGTTATCCATTTTGCTTTGTTGTTAAAAAGATAAAAATGTGGGGCTTTCTGGTTCCCCAGCCATCTTGGCGGCTGCTCCTGGTTGAGGGCCATCTGCACCTAAGACAGGAAGATGGTGGCTGCAAAGAAAATGAAAAATCTCTGGAGTCCATCAACTCTAGGCTCCAACTTGTTATGAAAAGTGGAAAATACGTGCTGGGGTACAAGCAGACAATGAAGATGATCAGATAGGGCAAAGCGAAATTGGTCATCCTTGCCAACAACTGTCCAGCCTTGTGGAAATCTGAAATAGAGTACTATGCCATGTTGGCAAAAACTGGTGTCCACCACTACGGTGGCAATAATATCAAACTGGGCACAGTATGTGGAAAATACTACAGACTATGCACACTGGCAATCATTGATCCAGGTGATTCTGATATCATTAGAAGCATGCCAGAACAGACAGGTGAAAAAGAAACCAAGCAGAATTTTTCATTAATTAAAAAAAAAAGGGGGGGCTGGTGAGATGGCTCAGTGGTCTAAAGCACCTACTTAGAACAAGCTTAGCAAAGCACAGGGACCACGGTTCAATCCTCCAGCACCACATGCCAGCCAGCCCCGCCCCCTGGTGGGCTGAGCTGGACACACACACACATACACACACAAATAAATAAAAATTTAAAAAAATAAATAAATAAAAAAAAAAAAAAAATGGGGGGGCCAGAGAAATAGCTTAGCAGCTTAAGCTACTGCCTGGCAAGCACAAGGTCCTGAGTTCGATCCCCAGGAACAAACAAAGAGTAAAAATGCAAACAGATAAAAATGTACATAGCACATAATGAAGAGACACTCAACTATGTATTTAATACTCCAATCAAAGCAGGGGTTTTTGGCACCATTGGCCACTTTTAACGAATGCTACCTATAAATCTATAAACTGACTATTATTGATCTTTCAAGATATCTTCAACTACTATAACATGTTTCATTGGTGACAATAAATCATGGCTAGGGCTGGTGAGATGGCTCAGTGGTCTAAAGCACCTACTTAGAACAAGCTAAGCCAAACAAAGCACAGGGACCACAGTTCAATCCCCCAGCACCATATGCCAGCCAGCCCCGCCCCCTGGTGGGCTAAACTGGCCACACACACACAAAATAAATAAGTAAATGAATAAATAAATAAATAATTTTAAAAAAATCATGGCTACTACTGTACTGTGGGTTGTTGACTGAATTTCAGTTTGTCTCTCCTCCTTCCAAGTTTTTAGACACCATATTAATTTTTTATACATACACATATCAGTGACAATTTTCATTTCTTAAACTGTGTGCTCAAAAGCGACTTCTAATCTACTTACTGATGCTGAAAAGTTCTTTTTTTTTTTTTTTTTTTGCTTTTTTTTTATGTATTTAGTACAGGATCTACAGGGTCTCACTACACAGATTGAACTCCTTGTGATTCTCTTGTTTTCAGCCTCCCAAGTGCTGGGATTATAGGTGCGGCCAGTCTCAATCGCCGTCTCAGCAAGCCCTGGAGGTGGGGCCAGAACGGCACACTAGGGATCGAATGCCAAAAAGTTCATTCTTAAAGAACATAAAGATATGGTATTACAGGTATGGATGATAACATTTCAACCCCCACATAAAACATTCAGGGACTTGAACAGGGGTTAAGGCATGTTAGACAAGGCTCTATCTAGCTCAGGCAAGATTCATATTTAAGGAATACGATATGTGCCACATTAACCTCTACCCTGAAGAGTAAAGTCTTCAAAGAGGTATATACCAAGTTTATTTTGTTCTCTCTGTGCCTCTTTTACCTCTTAAAAATCTTACTAAAAAATAAAAAATAAAAATAAAAAAATCTTACTAAAAAGTTATTTCTGTCTAACTTTCCCTCCCATGCTACTTTTTGTATCCTCAAATAATCAGGATTATATCTTTGAAATACAGAAGGTTCCATTCTATCTGTATTGCATACAGGAGCTATATTCAGAGTTAGACCTCATATGGGAAGAAAACATTGGTTGCTAAATGTACCTGATACACAAGTACATATTCTGAAATACACATTTCAGAATTTTGTGCATAAGTTTATCTTAGCATGGGACATTAAAAGTGACAGTTACATAAATTTATCTGAGGCAATGCTGTAGAATAGTTTCTATAGCATTTTTCCTCTTTCTTAGTTGGCCATAGAGTATACAATTTGGTTGACAGTGAACTTTTTTTTTTTTAAATGTGTGTTTGTGTGTGTGTGTGTGTGTGTGTGTGTGTGTGTGTGTGTGTGGCCAGCTTAGCCCAGCAGGGGGCAGGGCTGGCTGGCATGTGGTGCTGGGGGATTGAACCACGGTCCCCATGCTTTTTTGAGCTTGTTCTAGGTAGGTGCTTTAGACCACTGAGCCATCTCACCAGCCCCTGACAGTGAACTTATAATATACTTAAATGGTCCTTTTACTGAGTTGGTGTTCATGAAATACTAGAAATATTTGTGAAAAATGGAATTTGATTATGGTTTTCAAATAAGGAAATTAACATGAAAATCTAAGGGACAGAAGAAAAAAATGGTTAATAAAGGCCAACTGTTAAGAGATGAGGAGAAAATGCTGAGAAGTACATCAATTTTTCTAGGATATCATGGACGAAAGTTAGAATATAAGCTCAGAAATCAAAAGGATGTCTGTAAGTGGAAACTAGGTCAGCAGGAAGCTGTATATGGAGAGAATGGAGGAGGAAGAGGAAGAGGAAGAGGAGGAAGAGGAAGAGGAGGAGGAAGAGGAAGAGGAGGAGGAGGAGATGAGAGTATTAAAACCAAGTATTAATCTCTTGTACAGCACAGATACAGCAAGAAGTCAGTCATACCTTACCTTCTGAGCATACAAAACACCAGCTGACATTGACATGTTCATGATTTCGGCAGCCCCGCCTAGGGGTAAAGTGATTAGGACAGATGATACTATTAGATGCAAGGATCTTTGACCCTGCAGCCAGACAAAAGTCATTTGCATGATATGCCACGGGACAACGGACACAGCGCATCAGACGACCTAAATCCATGAGAAGAAAACCCAGGAAGAGAAAAATAAAAGAGATTAAATATGAGTAATGTGAATTATTCAAGATACATATGCTAGCACTGAGAAAATATTTTTTATTTTATTTTTTGATTGGGACACTGGTTCTCGGTAAGTAGTCGAGGGTAGCCTCAACTCTTAATCCTCCTAGCTCACCCTTCCAAGTGCTTGGACTATATGTATACAACACTGAAAAGATCTTTAAACAATGGATCTTACCCAGGCATAGTGGTGTACACCTATTATCCCAGCACTTGGCAGGCTGAGGCAGGAAAATCATTACAAATTCAATACTAGCCTGGGTTACAAAGTGAGCTCAAGGCCACCCTAAACTGCATTAGTGAGACTTTCTCAAAAAAGATCCCCCCCCAAAAAAAACACCCCTTAAATATGTAATTTACCATAAAAGCTAAGATAGAAGCTATGCCAAAGCCTCTAAAAAAGGAATCAGGTCCCATAATTGTACAATGAGTCAACCTCATCACAGAAAAGACTATCAAAATCACTGCCTGACTCCTAGGAAACCTGAAATACTCTCAAAATACATGATATAAGTAGGGGGATATGATACTAATTCTTTTTTTTTTTTTTT